TTGCCCTTCAAGAACATGTGGGAATTTACGGCTTTTTTTCGCCCCTTCCTCCCCCCCCCCCCCCTTCCTCTCCCTCACTCCCTCCTTCTCTCCCTCCTTCCCTACCTTCCACATCCCTCCCCTGCCGCTGCCTGCTTTGGTCGCCAGGCTCAGAGGACGTATCGGTTGCGCGTATCGCGTTCCAGCATGGGGTGTGCCTTCGTCGTTCGGGGCGGCGGGAGGAGGCGGAGAGGGTGCTCGGCGAGTGCGTCGAGACCCTCGAGGCTAGGCTGGGGGCGGCGCACGAAGAAGTGGCCGCGGCGAAGAGCATGTTGGATTTGTGCGCGGCGACTGAGTAGGGTGACCATATGCTGGAACTTTCCGGAGCTTTTTCCGCGAAAAGAATGGAAAAGTGTGTGTGTGTTCTCTGCTTGTTAGTATCAAGTATATTTTTTCATTTTCTCTACAAATAAAGTGTTTTTTGTCCAAGTACGATTTGGTGTTCAATCGTCTCTGTTCTGTTTTGGTCGTATCCGCGTCTGTTTGTGCGTTGTGCTATGTATGGTTGACAGGTTCGGACGTGGGTGGTATAGCCTATCCGGCTGTAGATGCTGTGGCCGCCACACTGCCGGCAACCCGAAAAACATATGTGTCCCTGTGCTCGTTTGTACCAGTGTTGTTCGTAAACAGAAAACCATGTGTTTCCTTGTGCTTGAGAATTATAACGCAATTTTTTTTTGTGCCTGCTGTAATGTGCCGACGAATCGTGCCTCTTTACGCGTTTTTTTTTTTAGGAGCCGTTGATTTGCGCTTGCAACCCTCAACAACTCGTATCATGTGTTGTTTCTCATCTACGTTTTGTAGGATAGCTCGTGTTAGTTTAGGAGTGTTGTAGTTGTGGGTGTGTCGCATGAGCATCTGCCGCGTTACACTATCCGGCCCGCAAATGACAGAGTACGTACGTAACGTGTAGAGGCGCCTTTTCTTGGCAGCGGAGTCCCCGGGCAGGGGCGGGGGGGGGGTGGATGAGCATAGCCGTTCCGGTAAATGTCGGTTATTCTGTACGGAAAACAATTCATGGTCGGATGATAAATTAATTGTACAATCTAGGGTATGATGAGCTGCGTATTGGAAGCTTCATGTCTGATGCCGGCGTGTATCTGTATTTTGTTGTTGAGCTGTTCTGTGTCTGTTTTTATCGAGTGTTGTGTGTACGTCCTGCTGGTGGGTTTCTGATAGCGATTTTCGATGGCGGTATTGTTTATTTTGGGATGTAGTTGCCTGCTGCTTGAATCGCATTGTTGTTGCCATGCCCGGGCGATCCCAAGAGCGAGCTAGCTGAGCACCGCTCTCTCGCTCTCTCTCTCTCTCTCTCTCTCTCTCTCTCTCTCTCTCTCTCTCTCTCTCTCTCTCTCTCTCTCTCTCTCTCTCTCTCCCCCTCTGTCGAAACATTAATTTCCTTTAGTGCCACCTTTGATGGTATTGTATTTCGTGAGCAACGAGTTGGGTTGCAGGGAGGGGTATTATGATGGAGGTTCCTCTGTAGTTCGAGAGAGAGAGAGAGAGAGAGGGAGAAAGCTTGGAGAATCCGTGTCTGGGCACCGTTGGGTATCATACAGAACGCGCACACGTGCGTCGTATTGTAGTCTGGTGCATGCACGTCAACGCGATCAAAAGAGACATTGCGAGGTCTATCTAGAGCTATTCACGATGGGTTTCTGTCACGGCGGGTGTGTGCATCCGCACGTACGCAACAACTATAAGATTGGTATCTTTACGCGCGGCGTGGTCCAGAGTGCAAAAGTTCGCAAGTCTTACATAAACGCCACCATGGGTGGGAAAAGTGTTGCGTACTTGTTGGTAAGGAGGGGATTTTTTTTTCTGTGCTCTTTCCTTGCGATTGGAAACCTGGGCAATACTGTTGCTGCCGCTGTTACAGCAACATCGAGAGGAGAATGGGGCAGCTAATTACTGGGGCGTAACGTAGTAGTTTATTGTTACGTGTCGGAGATTTCTTTCCGATTAATCGGTGTTAGACTAGACTACTTCTAACACCGATTAATCGGTGTAGCGTGGGGCAAACGGTTTTGCCGCTTTCTTCTGAGGATTTGCGGTAGTATAATCGATTGATGACGCACAAGCGTGCGTAGCTTGTGATTGTCTGGGACCACCCGAAAACAGAGGAACGCTTTGGTGCGCTACAGTATTCTAGAAACGGGCTCTATAACTTCAGGAACACACAACAGCAGCGGGGAATTTGTTTTGTGTCAACTCTAATTTGCTCACCATCAAGCAAGGTCTTGTGGAGGAAACACCAAAGAGCTACCCACCCGAGACACTGTTCTCATGCGATGATGAGGTCAAGTCCTGGCAAACAGTGAAGGACTGGTCACGCCTGGCAGAGACGGGACGAAATGGACTCGGCCGTTCTTCAAGAAGGCCTGTCACTCAGCATTATTAGATACTGACTGAAGCCGTGTCAATGGGGGGGGGGGGTACACACCCACCACCTTGGTGCTGCTTTGAGTAACAAAACCCACCCGCAGAACTGTGGGTTCAACGACAAGAAATACGGGAGAGAAACCCTAACCCTAACCCTAAGGCGTGTGTGGTTACAAACATGTGTGTCCCTCTACGCTAGGACCACATGTACAACCAACCCACGACGCTTCTCTCCTGAATCATTGTTTCATTTTTTCGTCCAGGTCGTCCTACCGCCGTACTGCTGTTATTGTAACAAAACCAGGCGGTCTGCGACATCAATACCGACCGTGTCGGGAGTGAAGCCAAGGAAATGATCGACCGCTGGAATACACCTCCCATGCACTTGAGGAAAAATAAGGCGTTAGAAATCACTGATGACGGATGGTGAGTGGTGGTGTGGTGAGGAGACCGCCAGCGGCGGGTAGAACTCTTCTTCTGCGAACAGATACACACTTTGCTATTTACCAGCGGGTATGCGGGTATCTTACAAGATCTGTGGACACCAGTATTTTTGGTTTCCGCATGCACGAATAAAGTGGAAGAACCTCCGATCGCCTGCCTCTGCCTCGACAACTGAGCGTTTGTGTGCTCCACCGACTGGCAGGGGGTTGATGACCATGCGAATCCAAGAACAAGCGTGAGCGAGGGCAAAGGGCAAACGCTCAGATGTAGAACACTGACGCAATAAACGCGGTGGAAACCCCGGGCCGCTCTCCGCAAAAAAAAAAATCGCCAACGGTCGCTTTTCCTCCTGTCCATTTCCCCCGCGCGGGCAGCAGCAACCAATAACACCATCTGCTTAGTAGGTGTGCTTGCTGCTTGAAGCTCTCGGTTTCGATGCCTCCGACGCCTCACCGGACCCGAGTCCGGCCCAGCCCGAGCACGAGCAAGTCCCCACGGCGCAGGGGGCTCGCCGCGGAGTTCGTCGACTCGGACAACGATGAAGCCTCCTGTTGCGCTCGGTATCACGTCTCGGTCCGCAGTGCAAAGGTAACACACGCCGGTGCTGCTGCTGTGCTGCTGCTGTGCCTGCAGCAGCAGTAGGAGTGGGGAGGTAGTTGAAGCAGGGGAGGCGGTGGGGTAGTGTGCTTTTGGTCGGGGGGCGGGGGAGAGAGGAAGCCAATATACAAGAGTAAAGACGCCCTCTCGGGGCAAGTAAGTAGCGATCCATTATCCGTTGGCCAGCATGTACTTGTACTTGTTGCAAGACCTTGGGCGATGATGTTGTTGTCGGTCGTTGTCGAGGGCTTTTAGGTGGGTGCAGGGGGATCGCGACCCCAACACGGCGGTCGCACATATCTCGCACGCCTCTGACGCGTCCCTCCCGTGTCGCATCGGTCGTGTGTGGTCGCTCTGTCTGGTGGTGTGTGTGTCTTTTTTCTCTCTCTCCCTCCCTCTCTTCCCTCAGAACCTGAAGCGAGAGGGATTCCGCGGGCTGACGAACCCGTACTGCCAGCTGAACGTCGGGAGGCAAGGCCCTTACACCACCGATGTCGTCTTCGACTCCGTCAACCCTTCGTGGGAAAACAATCGCCAGACTTTCGAGTTCAGGGTGAGTGTTGGTGGCGTGTGGAGATGATGGTGATGGGAGCGGATGTTGAGAGTCAAATCGTCAACGCTGACCAGCAGGTGTTGCGTCATGTGCGGTGTGCGGGGTCACCCACCCCCCGCGGGTCACCCACCCCCCGCCACCGACGCCGCTACCAAGAGAAATCAAGCACGCGCCTTCCTAATGCAGCTACTTGGGGTTGCCCGAGGGTGTTTTGGTTGCTTGATGGGAACCCAGAGCTGCTTTATTGAAATGCTTCCTCCTTGTTACGACACGAAAACCGAGCGGGACAAGAGAAGATACCGACGCGTGTTGCCAAATGGAAACACTCCGCAAACCGAGAACAGCGGTATGTAAAGATGCTCCTCTTTCCTCTTGATGAGAATCACGGGAGGAGGGCATCATGTGTTCTACCGCTGCCTATATTGATGTACGCTGCTATGGCACCTGCAGCAGTGCATCGCCGCGCGGCCAGGGTGGGCACCATTGTTATAGCACGCCCTCCTCCTCTCGTTCGCTCTACAAGCTATTTACACGCGTGTTTGTGTTTACACCCATGTATGCTATGCTAACGTCTACGTACTATGTACCCCCGCCCCACGGAACGCCTTTGAACCCGGCGCGCTTCCTGCTGCGGTGACCATCGCCCCCCGCCCCCCCGGCCCGAAAAGGAGGCAAAGGGTCCGCAGGAGGATAAGCTGACGCTAGCCTGCTTCAATTCTGGGGACGTGCCCGAGCTGATCGGAAGGCTGAGTGTGGCCCTGTCCCACGCCACCCACAAGGTCATCAGCCTTCCCATGTTCCGCAAAGACCTCGGGGTGAGTTGCTTGGCGTCCACCTGTTCGGTGTTTCCTCTGCTCTTGTTTTATCTTCTGGCTCGGACTGGTCAGTTAGGCTGTGTTCTTGGTGCTGTTCAACTTGACTTGCGTTTTGCTCCTCGTTATCTGCTGAGGCTGGTTGGGGGTTTGGTTAAACCAAGCAAGCGATTAGAAATCCACACCACCAGTTGATGGGCATGTCAGTCAACTATTGTACAACAAGTGCGGTCGTGCCTCGGGCCCATGTCAAAACGTTGTTGTTGCTGCTTTCCTCTGGTGTGTGTGTGTTTTTTTTTCTTTTCAGGACAACGCAGCACCTTCTTCTACAATGCTTGTCATTGTCTCCGCAACCCGAACATGTCGAAGCGACCAAGTGGCCCATATAAACAGCTGAAAAGAAACAAACCACCGGCGTTCCCCGAGGTCGCTGGCCAGAACGGAAACTGGGCCAATACCAGAGAGCAGGGCGTCCTATAACATTACTCCGTCGCCATTGCCCACCAAAATCCACTTCCCGTAGATATGCACGTTTCCCGACTTTGTCCTTCCCCCCGACCTTCCTCCTTCCCTCGCCGCTCCACGTCGATCATCATACCCAACGACGCACAAACGCTACCACACGACATCGTACCTACCGCGCCAGGGGTCCCAAGTCTGGGCGGGTAGCGTCGAGATCGAGCTCCACTACATCCCGGAAGGCGAGGCGGGGTCCCCGGCTCGCGGCGGACGGGTAGGAAGGCCCGCCCTCGACGAGACTGATGATGTCAACCGCGGCGGCAACAACCCCTACCCGCCCATGTCCCCGTCCGCGACAACGACGACGACGACGTCCCTCGCCTCTTCCTTCGTCAAGGCGGCCTTGTCCTTGCCGCACAAGCCGCGGACCTCCGGCGGCGCCGGCGACGGCGCGGCAGCGGCAGCGGTGCAGGCGGAGCTGCTGGCCCTCTCTCCGCGGACGGCGACGCGGGGAACGGAGAAGAAGAAGGCGATGTCGGCTACGAAGTCGCCGGCGTTGGCAAGAGTGAGCTCTCTGCCGGGCACGGAGAAGGCGGCAGCCTCGTCCTGTTCCTCCTCCGCAGGAGCCCACAAGGGCGGCGGCGGGAGCGACCGCTACGGCTCTGCCGCGGCGGTAGCCCAGGAGGACCTGCTGCCCCTGTCGCCGAGGATGGCGAGGGGGGCCGAGGCGGCCGCCGCGGCGGCGGCGGCTGCCGTGGCAGAGGCCGCCAGGGGACGGGGTTACAGCAAGGGCGGCAGCGCGGGGGGTTGGAGCTGGAAGTCGTTCTTCTGCGGGGTTGTGTTCTCGGCGCTGCTCGTGTTGGGGGGGTTGTGGGCCGTCGGCGTTCCGCTGTTGTCGGGACAACTTGGGTTCGGCCTGAGGGTCCTGGAGGACGGCGAGAACGGTCGGCAAGCGGTTGTTCTCATCCACGGCTCGGTAAGCGGGGGGGGGGAGGGTGACTTGTTGGTGGCTGCTGGCCGTGTGGTAGTTTTGGTCGTTGATGAGGCGTTCCATTCGGGGATAGATGTCCTTTCGTTCTCCGAAGAGAGACGAGGCTAATGTTGCCTTCATTTCATGTCTGTTCGACGTCTTTTTTTTGCTAGAGAAACGAAGGGATTATCATTGTGAAGCGCGGTGGTCGCACGTGCAGTACTGCGGCCAACCGACCACGGATCGCGAACGAGGGAGAAAGAGACCCGGCGAGCACCACCTCCTTCTTATCCTTCCCCAACCAACTCCTCTCTTGTCTGCTGGTCCTCGCGGTTTCTTGTGCCGAACGCGAACGCCTCCTTAAAAACCCCGACCATCGCCCTGAACCTGCTGCCCGATGGTGTCCTTCTGTACCGCACTCTTACCCTTTGTGTTTCACCCCGGTGCGGCGCGACTGTACCAACCGAGCGCCTCACAATGCCCTCTTCTCTACCAATGCGCGCGTGTGCACACGTTTGCATTTGTACTGATTTGTATGCTTGGACAGAAAATAGCCGGGCTGGCTGACAGGCACCTGGTGGTGTTCGTGGGCGAGCAAGAGGTGTGTCGCGGGGGGGTGCCAGCCCCGGCACCACCGACGGAGGGATCATCGTGGGCGTACGACCTCTGGTCTTCGGATTCGGCCGCCGCTGCGGCCGCCGGTGACGGGGGAGATGGCGGCAAGGGTCGGAGCGGACGCGGCGGAGGACGGGAGGTGAGGGATTCTTCGGGATCAAAGTACCTGTGTTGCTGTGCCATCTGCGCGTAGCGGCGATGTGCTCGATGCTTTCTGGGCGTGGAGCCACTCGCTGACTCTGTGTGCAGTCCGTGGGCATGCATCATGCATCGACGTTGCACAGCTCAGTCTGACTCGCATTCAGGCTTTTTTTCAACCTACTATTAGGGCACTTGACTATTAGCTGGCGAGATCCCCAACGGTTAGATCGAACCGCGACGGCTAAACCTTACTACCCCGAACGAAATACGGAGAAGAATGATGCACCTTTTTGTCCGCGAAACCCCCCCTCAAGTGATGCACCCACGACCACGTGAGTTCCCTCCCCCCCCCCCCCCCCCCTCATACGCATTTTGTACGTTTTCCATGAATTGGGGTTGCTAAGAGCTTCTCTGGAGACGAATACTTTCGCTGATTTTGCCCGACGTCGGGTGCAAATTTCCCAATTTCTAAAACGCGTTTTCCCCGGCGCCCCCCTTCCCGCTTTCTCCTTTTTTTTTTCATCTGCCCCCCCCCCCCCCCGGCATCAACATACGCAACAACACCGGCTCTTCGTTTCCACTAGCAGGAGCATACCGGCGACAACGGTGGAGAATCTGATTGCGGCCGCTGGTGTTCTTTCTGCCGCTGGTGTTCTCTCTGCCGCCGGCTTGCGGCGCCCCTCTACGCCGCTCGGCGAGAGGTCGGCGGCGGCGCACTCGGCACGGACCTCTGATGCTATCACAGCAGTGCCGCTCTCTCCCCGCTTTTGAGTCTTGCTTTCCTCTCGTACCCGAATCAGGATGGTTGTCGTTGTTTTCGAGAGGAGGGCTTTTCGTTGACACAGAGGACAGCAGTGTTGCTGCGAAGGGTAGGATTGCACGAGGGGAAACAGGAAACGGGCAAATACATGCGGTAGGCGCGAAAAGGAGTCAACGCGGTGGAGTACATGCGGGGGGGACCAAGGTTGGCCGCAAAAACTGGGCGCCCGCGAGGACTCTCTTGCGCGACTGTGGATGTGTACGTGCGATGTGATGGTGCAGCCAGAGAGGCGCGAACGAGCTCTGCTTTCTTGGCCTGCCTTCTTGCCTAGGGCAGTCTGATGGGCTTGGCCTGGGCTGTGTCCTTTGCCTGAGAACGGTAGAACTCTAGCTCTGCAGAGCTAGCTCCGCATCAACGAGCCCACGCCTGCCTTGCGTATGGTGCAGTCTTTGTTGCCTTTAGATCAGTTGTGTAGTGGATTCTGAACGTTGTTGTGCGCTAGCTTTCTTTTCGTTTTGTCTATTCTATCTCCTTCCAGTTTTCTTTTTTGTTCGTTTTTTGTTTTTTGTTCTTCGGGTACGCCGTCTTTGGCAGCGTGCTTGTGCCTTTTCGCGTAGATGGCATCGACGGTGTCGGAAAGGGACGAGGAAAAAGCCTGCCAAGGTTTGACTACATACACGTCCAAGAGCATCAGCAAGAACAACATTCAGCCTCTTGATTGGACAAGAAGCGTGTGAATAGTACAAGTATTAGTTTAGCCCGCACCTGGTTTATTTGTGCTGGTCTTGTCTGGGCGTCTAAAAATATACGGTAGCTCCTTTGAAAGGGAGGCCATCCATGGTGATCGTTAACGGGACCGAGACTCCTCCAAGGGTGTAGCGCGGTCTTCATCAAGCGTGGTGGGAAGCTAGCTAGTGTTTCCGACCACTACCACTGGGAAGGCGGTGGGAATCAGGTTCGGTCATTTTCGCTCGCTCGTGTAGAAGGAATGTGTGTCTCCGGCTCTTGTTGTTATTACGCTGCGTGGAGAGGCGTTGCACTCAGAGAGAGCTTGAACGGTGTATCGTAGAGAGACGGGAGGTGGGCGTGGGCCTTCTGCTGTTGTATACCGGTATGTAATTGTAACATCTTGGATGCCTCCGAGAGGGGGAAGAGAGACGAGGACAGCATAGAGAGAGTACGCGACGTGACTGGCTCACGTCAGGGGACGATCGTGGTTGACCGTGCGCTCGCTCCTTCCCCCGCCCCCACTTCCCTGCACCCCTGATTGAATGGCGGCAATCATGTGGTAAGGGTGATGGGGGTGTTGATGAAAGGTTGGGTACGAGGAGGGAGGATGCTGAGGGGAGAGGAGGGTGTCATAGAAGGAGTTTCTCATTTTCGATTTATATGTACGCGTTCGGTTTGCATCTATTTATTGCAGTGGGGTCTAGGCGGACCCCAAATCGAGAGAGAAGAGGTTCGTTGGTTCGGGTCTTCCTGGAATTGGTTGCTTTTCCCCAGGTGCGATGCTACAGCTGGGCTATGACCGAATCCGGGTTGCTGGGTGTTGTTGGAGTTGAGAGGGCGAGGGAGTGTCCCACCCTCACCCCCGTATCGCCACTGCCTTCCTCCTATATATACCCCGGACGATTTAGCGTCCTTCCCTTGTTTTCTTCCAAAACCAGGGCGTGTTACTAATCCGTGGACAAGTGCGACACAGCGTTCAGCCAGTCGTATGTATTGTGAGGAGACTGGCTGACTTGCGGTGGTAGTGGTGGCAAGGATTGAGAGGGAGCACGCGGAATGACACGATGATCCGCGAGAGTGTAGAGAGGGGGGTGGATACTAGACACCGGACGCACGTCTCGTTTGCAGACTGTTGTGGGGGGGGGGGGGATACACAACTGTCTGGTAGAGAAACACCCGGTCTGTCGCCTGTCGCATCTGTCCGGAGAGAGGTCTTGATCAATCGATGATAGATTACCTGTTGTGACGTGGCGAGAAAAAGAAGTGATTTGATTTGGCGCTGAACCTGCGAAACGATATCGAGCGTTCAGGGACGTCGTGAGTTGCTGAACAAAGTTGGTAGGTAATCAGGATGAGAACGTTCGCTGGTTTCACATAGATGTATGCCTGGGAACGGTAGTTTAGGGCTATCTTGTACATGGGATGTTGAAACGATTTTTTTCGCGCGGGGCATGTCTGTCCCCAAGGGAATAGCCGTGGCAGAACAAGGAGGGCAATTGGTCGGTCCGGTGCGTGCGGTCGTCATGTCCGTTTTGCATCGATGATCTTCGTTGAGATTCGAGATGTGTGGTCTCTCTTGCTACACGATTGATTGAGCGGGCAGGTTGTATATCTCGCTATCAGACGGCATCTCAAAAAGAACGGTCGCAGGTTATACCCTACCATCCGTCTTCCGCCGTCACGTTATTGGCTCTCCGATCTGGGGTATAGCAGCATGGAGACAGCAACTAACTGTTGTAACAGCAGGAGTTAAGTGAATTATTCGCTGTCTCTCTCTGCGGTGCGTGCCTTCATTTCAAGATCCCCGAAGAGAACGAACACTCAACACACTGTTGCTGCTGTAGAGGGCGGAAATGCCGGAGAAGTGCAAATTGCCGGAATTAGGAATCCCAACCTGAAAACGTTTTCCCGGTGGACTGGACAAACAGGTCATCATCATCATCATCTACGTGTATGTATCTATCTACCGGTCACACACAGCAAGCTGACTCGTACCTAGCATTCGGACACAAATGACAAGGTGTCCCTCCGTGTACTTTTAACAATAAGGGCGCCGAGTGGACAGCTCACGGGTGGGTCGCCTCGTCGCCTCCCAAGGCTTTAGAAGGTCAACCTGCTCACCATCATAGGGAGATCGCAGAACACGACCCCACAGCAGACAGGATATATATTATATATAGTCTCGAAGGCTGCATTTCGCCGCGTCGACCCGCGACGACTTCGGGAAACAACGTCGTCGCCGAAGGCAGCAGCAGCAGCAGCAGCAGGTCGAAACTCACAGCCGCTTGCTTGTCATGCTGCTGTCTGTCAAGGTAACTGCACACCTATGAAAGATGGACGCACGAAGGTTGAACACACGACTCATCTCGATGAAACATAGTCTACATCGCGATCGGGGTTGTTGATTATTGTATGTGGCGAGAGATCGACTCGTTGACGTCGGGATGCTTCTTCAAGACAACGAGGGTCCACAGTGCGCACCATCTCTACAACAATGACACCCAGAATATAGAACGATCTCTTCCTTTTCTCTCTCAGTATTCGTGTTGTTGTGTCTCATCATCGCGTGTGCGATGCAGAAGTTGTATGTACACTTGTCATGTGTGTAAGATCTTGTCAAAAAATGATCTGGCGATCGATCGATCGTGGGTCGTCCCGTTTGTCTCGGAGGCGTGCTGCCTGAACAGAGGAGACGGGAACACGGGGATGACCGAAAAAAAGGTTTTGCCGCCTCAATCTTTCTCCTGTCGCGCACGGCTCGTGCCTTCGACACAAAAGTGAAAGCCTTTTTTGCTTTCTCAGCAACCACCACACTAGCCGGCGTGCTAGCACCCAGAGAGAGAGAGAGAGAGAGGCAAAACCGAGCAGTATGCGCCTGTCATGCACCCTCGCCGTGGGCGCCCTGGCCGTCGCCGCGAAGCAAACATGCGCGTTCCACGTGAGCGCGCCGGCGATCGCGGCGACAAGTAAGACCACCTTCACCTCGTCCACCTCCGCCATCAGCGGGAGGCACGCGGCCACCGCGGTCGCGCCGGCGCGCGGCAGCAGGAACGTCCTGCAGGCCTCGCTCAACGTGCCCGGGTCCGGGTGGGTCCGCGGCCGCGCGGAGCGCGTTAAGTCCGCGCTGGTGCTCAACTCCGGTGACGCGACCGCGTCGGCCGCGGGAGCCGCTCCCGCCAAGGAGAAGACCAGCACGCTCAAGGTCGGCTTCTACCTGTTCGTGTGGTACAGCCTCACGATCGGGTACAACATCTACAACAAGGCCACCCTTAACCGGATGAACATCCCGTGGATCCTGAGCACCGTCCAGCTGGCGGTGGGCGCGGTCTACGTGAGCTTGATCTGGGCGCTCGGCGTGCGGAAGGCGCCCAAGCTGTCGGGCGACAACCTCAAGGCGGTGCTGCCCTTGGCGGCCCTCCACACCACCTCCCACATCGCGGCGGTGGTCGGTCTCTCCGCCGGCGCCATCGGCTTCGTACAGATCGTCAAGGTGTGTGAGAGTGCTGGTGGCTGTTGTTGCACCTCCTTCGGTGGTTGCATGCACAGAGCACGACAGCAGTAGTATGGTAGAGCAACATTGCAAGAAGGGCAAGCAGCTGCTGTTTTTCGTTGATTCGCGCTCTTTTTTTTTTTTGGCTCCTCTCTCTCTCTCGTTCTTCGTTCAACATAAAGTATGCATACGAAAATCTAACTTCTTCTTCTTCGCATGTATCTGCGAATCGAAAATGGATCGTTTTTATTGGCTGCCCGAAAGCAAAATCGTTGGTTGGTTCGTTGTTCCATGTTTTTTGCGCTCTGCCCGTGTTGTCGCACACTGATGATGCTCTATCCCTACGGTACAAGTACAGCGCCCAGGTGCGAGTGGAACAAAATCGAACTCGTCGGGGGGGGGGGTATTGACATCTGGCGAGAAAAATGATGATATACCGAACCCAAATTATCGCGACGACCCCACCTTCAAGGAGTCGCCCGTTCAGATAGGAATGGCTTCAGCCTGCGGCAGCAGCGTGCATACGTCAGTCGCCTACCCTACTCAAAGATACACGACCGGTGGTGCATCAAACAAGCCAAGTTCCCACGCGTAGTGCTGGCCTAGTTCAGCACTAATCGTTGTGGATTTGTTGCGTGCGAAGTACCATTGCTCCCCAGCACGAGATAAAAGTCGTAGTTCGGTGCAGTTTCGAGGTTGGTTTGAGGAACTGATGTTTGAGATACAGCAGTACAGGAGAGCGATCAGTATAAAAA